GTCTCGGGAGTGGAGCGGGTGGCCCCTTGGCTTGGCCACAGGGGTGGTGCTGGCTTCTGGCCTTTGATAACGTCACAGGTGAAGCATGGTGCTGTCAGAATATTTCTCCTCTGTCATTTTCCTAATTAAGATTATGGCAGGGCCTGTTTTTACTTAAGAGCCTTTTTATTTCTTTTTCTGTGACTTGGTTTATATCTAATTAAAGAAAACCATAAAGCGAACCCCCAACTCCCATAAAAAGTGGCGTCCTGGTGACCACGTTCATCTCTGGATGTGGTGATTCCTCGAGTAGCATGTTAAATGGCCATTTCTGATGGCTGGTTCATTTCAGTTCCAGTTTTCCCTGCTTTGTGAATTGCCATGCAGTTCTCATTTCATCTTCTCTCCTTCCTCACATTTTAAAATGGCATCTCAAGAGCCAGAGGAAGGTAACCGACCATGATAAATACGGCCGCGGATGGCCATTTGGCATTTTCTCAAGTGGACACCCCTCGGCCATGCTGGTGCTCTGGGGTGCGGTTGTATTAAATGTTTGCGTGAAGACGGGGAGCCCCTGCTCTGGATCTGCTGAGGAGACAGCCTGAAGCCCCTGTCATTTCTGGATTGTGTCGGGAGCCCCACAGCTGAGTGCGCTCTGGGGGAGCCGCTGAGCTCCTGGGTGCGATTCCGGTGTGCGCCAGCAGGGGGCAGTCTTGCCCACGTGAGCGCGGAGTGGGAGTGCGTCTGCTGCTGGAAGCAGGCCTTAGGACCCGTGTTTCAGTGGAGGGTGGCTTTTGGGAGGGTTTTACCCCCTTAACAGAGCAGAAAGCACCAATTTCCTGACTAGGCAATTTTATAATCCGACGTCTCCCCTTTAAGCAACATGTAACTAGGACCTCAAGGTTCCTGAGAGTTGCAGGTGCATCTATGAAATAGGTTATATTCAGCGAGTGAAGAAGGAAGAAGCACTGCAGGCAGCCAGGTGTGTACATTTGAGGAACTCAGCTGCTGGCCTGTTCCAGACAGCTCACCCCACAGCGTGCCAGGCCTTCATGCTTGGGCCCCAGGCGGAATGGCTGGCAGCGCTGGGGCCTGGGGGCCATTTGATGCTGCGGCTGCCGTTGCTGATGGGCACAGACAGGGGGGTGGGCAAAGGTCACGGCGGGGCTGGCCGTGTGCCCAGAGGGCGCCTGTGTTCAGGTGGCAGGTTCTGAGCCGCAGGTGGTGTAGTCTCGCGGCTGGTGGCCGGCCCCGGCCCTGGCCTTCCAGGTTCAGTGTGTCTCCGCTGCTCATTACTTGTGCGGCCTTGAAGTCAGAGTGTCCGTCTGTGTCCTTGGTTATGAAAGGAGGACAGGACGCTCTACCTCATGGTCACTGCCTGGTGAGCGAGAGGCCGTGTGTCGGCTCCATACACGTGCTTCAGAAATGCGCCATAAATGTTAACTGTCGTTACCATTTTTTTTTTTAAAGATTTATTTGTACACACAGAACTGGGCTACAGGCCAGAGGCTCAGGGGTGGCGAGAGGCTTCACCAGAGACAGAGTGGGGAGCAGAACAGGCAGGTCGACGAAGTACACTGCTGAGGGGAGCAGCGGGCGGGTCTGGAGAGGTCTGCCTCCATGTGGTCACCTCCGGGGCAGGCGGGGATCGAACTCATGCGGAAGCGGCTTTAGATTCTCAGTGCTGTGCTTTAACTCGCTGCGTCACCAGGGAGGGCCGTTGTTACCATTTTTTAAAAGCGTAATCATTACTAAGAAACCCTGCCTAATCAAGTTATGTTGTAACAGCAGTGATGCAGAAAGAACGATGTGCGAGGCTATTTCAGGCTCACCCAGGTGAAATGACCTTTGCAGCAGTGTTCCGATACCGTGGGCGTGCTCATGTTAGGCCTGTTTCCCTGGCCCTGAGCGTGGAGCAGCATCCGGTGTTTTATTCCACGTGCTGTCTGCTGAGAAGGAAGGTCTTTCCTCTGGAGCGGAGAGGACTCAATTGAGGTCAAGGTCGTGGAACCAGCCTCAGGCTTTTGTAGCCCCCCATGAAGCTTGTTCCCGAGGGGGAGGCGTTTTGACCAGTCCAGGGTAGGTTAACCTCACGCCTGAAATGCTCTGTCACCTTGTGTAGCTTGAATTGATAATGGTGAATGAGTTAGGAGACAGGTGTCCACAGGAGGGAGACACACACTTACATGCGAAGACTCGGGGGCAGCGAGCCCATGGGTCGTGGGTTGCTTTCTGCGTCTGTGTCCGTGCTAGTCGTCTCTCGCTGTGTAATGAATTGCCCCTGGACGTGGCAGATTAAAACAGCACATGTTGAGACACTCGTTTCCGAGAGATGAGTGTCTGGGAATGGCTCAGCTGGCCGGATTTTGCTTGGCGTGACTCAGGAGGCCTGAGGCTCCATGTCTGAGCTTTTTCCTCTGGCTTTTGGCGGGAGGCTCTGGTTCCTCATCCTTGGGTCTCCCCACAGGGATGGCTTCCCAGAGCCAGTGACCAAGACCAAGGGATGGAAGCTGTTGTCTCATGGCCGATCTTGGGAGCTCCATGCCATCACGTCTGCCACATTCGGTGGTCACACAGATGAGCCCGGATCAGTGTGGGGTTCTGTATGCGGTGGGGATACCCAAGGCGGGGTCATGGGTGGTGTGAGTGAGTACCAAGGGCGCTTCTTCCCTGGTGGGCTCTTCTCCTTCCCCCTTCTGCCCGTGTGGTTTGGTGGGCTGGGCCCACGAGCCAGTTAGCTGCTCCATCCCTGGGACGCCATGCTTGGGCCCCAGAGGGCACTGGCCAAGCCCATGTCTCCACAGCCAATTACCAGCAGCTCTCGCCCCAAGACAGCGCACTGTGTCCGTGCAGACGTCTCTCTGCAGACCCGTCCTCCTCGAGGGCAGCTCATTTTGCCTGCGGTATCAGAGCAAATGCCCTTTCCTCTCCTTTTCTTTTTTATAATAAATCTGTCCTTTTGGATAGAAAAAAACAAACAAACAACAGCCAGTTAGCATCCTTGAGTGCAGGATGTGAGCGGAGTGTCTGGGGCGCCCTGGGGTGTTCCCAGCCCCTGTTCCAGCCCTTCGCTTCCCGTCTGCCATCGCAGGACCCTCCTTACTCTTATTCCTAATAAGCTTTGCTGGCCGACAGAGTGAGTGTGGGTCAGCAGGGGAGTTTTGTTGCTGCAACTGGTCATTTGCCCAGGCCGAGCCAGGGCGCGCCTCCTCCCCTGCTGTTCACTCTGCGCCCTCCAGGCGCCCGTGGCTTCTGAGGTGGCGCCTCTGCGCTCAGCAGCAGCCACAGCCTCCGGCAGGCAGCCCCCCGGCCCGTGGGGCCCCGAGGAGCCCTCTCCCTCCTCACGTCCACGAAGAGCACTGGGGTAGGAGCACTCGCGCCTGGGCGTGTGGCGCCTGCGGCCAGCAGAAGGCCGAGGTGGCCGGCCTCGCCGCGACCCCGAGGGAGCAGCAGACGCACATCCGGTGCGGGAGCCCCGAGCCGGAGCGAGCCCCAGGCCCGCCTGCCTCCCCCGGCACATGCCCAGACTCCTTCCCCCCTCCTTGCTCGGGGCTGGGGTGCCGAGTCTGGGCAGTCTCGCGGGTCCCTCCCTTGTCCCAGTCCCGCCTGCAGCGAGCGGCTTGCGGCCGTGGCCTCCATTTGACCTTGAGCGCCTGCCGTGTTCTCTCCAGCCCTGCCTGCCCAGCGCGTCCCTCTGTGCTTGTGCCCACTGCGCTGCTGAGCCCTGATCTGGGTGATGGTGCCCCGCGTGCGGACAGGCCTGTGCCGCGACTCTGAGGGCGGCCACCCCGAGGCTTAGGCCTGCTCGCTGCCCCGCCTAGCCCTCGAGGCTCCGGGCTCTCGGTGAAGGCTGTGAACCTCAGTTCTGCCCAAGACTCAGTCTCTGCCTTCTGGTTTTAAACGCTGGCGAAAGAGGAAGAGCATGCCGCTTATGAGAAAGATGGTTCGCTCCTTCAGCGTCCAGCGAGCTTTTTTATCAAGAGGCAGATGGTCAGGGTTGCAAAGGTCTAGCATGGAAAATGCTGGTTTGAATTCAGCCTGACCTGGGTCAGGGATGGACGTTAGACCCAAAGGTCCTTTTATTACCGACAAGAAGGCCAGTGGGTCCCAGCCTGCTGGCAATTCCGGGAGTGGCCGCCTGGGCTTCTGGGCTGAGAAGGACTCGGTGTTTCATCTGGGCTCACCAGGAGGCAGGGAGGAGGAGGTTGCTGAGTAACGGTGTCTGCTGAGCACAGGAAGTGCTGCCATTGATCAGCAGGGTCTGCAGTGGGCCAGGAGATGGCCGAGCCTG